TAGTGCACTGATAATTATGTACAATGAAACTCCGGGTTGTATAAGATTTAGTGCACTGATAATTATGTACAATGAAACTCCGGGTTGTACAAGATTTAGTGCACTGATAATTATGTACAATGAAACTCCGGGTTGTATAAGATTTAGTGCACTGATAATTATGTAAGATGAAACTCCGGGTTGTACAAGATTTATTGCACTGATAATTATGTAAAATGAAACTCCGGGTTGTACAAGATTTAGTGCACTGATAATTATGTTACAACCCGGAGTTTCATTGTACATAATTATCAGTGCACTAAATCTTGAATTTAGTTCTACTGACAAGGAAGAGGACAACCATAAACCAGCGTACCATAACGTCCCTTCTCCCCCAGTTCAAAATACGGTAGTGTTCAGAAACATATCGCTGCTTGTAGACCTTCCAATCCGCACTCTATCACACCAATCACTAGGCCACACCAAGCTCTTCTTTCTGATAGTCAATACTCATAAAAAGCTTTGAACCGATTGTTTCCATGTTAATGGATTTGAGCATCCAACTGTTATGCTGAAGAACTGATGGTTTTGACAGCTCAACTCTCAATGTTTACGATTTGATGGCTTTACTTGAAAATATCCAATAATTTAGGCCACGGCCCCTCGATCTTGTTTGCGATCAGCAGAGATAGGGGAAAATGATCATAAATCCCTCTTACCCCTACATCAACAGCGGTCCTCATTTGGAGGCCTCCAGAAATATTGACACTCGCCGGCTGAGTATTGATATTAGCACGGGTGCTCATAACGCAGTGTTTGTGTACTTTAATACAAGGTTCTTCAAGGTGTCAGTCGCAGCCTGTCTTGCTTGGTTCCTTCTAAAACTTCGGGGAAAGGTGGAATACATCTAAATCACATTCACAACACTGAACATATACGTATGCTTTGACACGTTTTGCTAATGTAAACGCTTCAGGCGGAAATATGAAGTAACATTGGCTCTCACAGTTGGACGTTACCATTTTGGTCTTCACACTTGAAAAAAAAAAGAGATGAATTAATATATTCCAACGTCACTCTTCTTTTGGAAAGTAAACCGCTTATTTGTAGATGTGGGTATGTGACTTTAATGATATCGTTTTAAAGCCCCCTATCCCAACCTCCTTCAATCTTCAAGTGGCAAAATATCCAAATGCAAAGAAGTCGAGGAAATTGTGATGGCGGATCACTAATGAAAATAAAAGAATAAAAAAAATATTATCGTTGCAGAATTATTATGATAAATGTTTTTGTTTTTTTTCTTATATTGATATAAGTTCGTTGAGTGGACTTTGGACTAAACATATAATTTTAATTCATATGTTTAAAAAATAAAGAAAATAATTTTTCAGGTCTCTGTAGATGGTTCTTAATGAGTATACTTTAAACATTGGATAAAAATGGTATCTTGTGTTACTGAACGTGAGGTAACCCGTACTCACTTATTTTGCTCCCTAAGCGCCCTCTATGTGTCAGGTGGAGCCCTTATGATTCTTCTGTAGAGCTTAAAGTTTTCCATAAAAACTACACATAAAGTTATATATATATAATTTTTTACTGGTCGTTTTTTTCTTTTCTTTACGTACATCCGACCGAAATGTCAAGCCTTTTGTTAAAGCTGTTTGTTATTAACACTCACATAAAATGGTAAGGCAGTAATAAAAATATTATGATGAGTACAGCGCATGCTCAGAACAAATTGTCCGCTTGAAGTCCAGTTTCTATACCATATTCTGTGACGTTTTCTATGTAATTTCTCAAGAGCAGCTACTTCCTGCATAAAACATTCTTTTGTTCTTTCTATTTTTTATTTGTAGGAATGTCGTTGTATTTATTTCACCGTTTCGTTAGAAGTATTTTCTGTATTAATTTCCACTTGTTGTGTTTTTACAGATCCGTATCAGGTTTTTGGACCGACCAGCAGCCGACTGGCGAGTTCAGGTATGCCTATTTATCTATCTGTCTGTGTGTATGTTACTTTCAAGTCGCGTGACGATATATATTTAACTAAGGTAGAAATAGAGACGACCAAAGCGTATTTAAAAATATTAAAATATCTTAGCAATGCTTACACTGTTTTACTTTGAAAGGTACTAAAATAAACCTTTTTGAAGGATTAGTCACGTAAGCTCTGGCGTTTACTGGAAGTACTTATTAACGTTATATATATATTATATCTATCTATTTATATATATACATGTATACACACATATATGCACACATATGCACGTATATATATATATATATATATATATGTACCGGTGGGTGGTGTGCTATTTATTAAGAATAAATTCAAATAACGTTGTTGCATTAAAACAAGTTTTACTCATTTGTTCAAAAGATAATTAAGTCTGACGTAACAAGTATCACTTAACTACATTTCAACAGGATTCAACATGTATTATCAGTGCACTAAATTCCCGCCATCTTTCCAGAGTTTCATCGTACATAATTATTAGTGCACTAAATCTTGTACAACCCGGAGTTTCATTGTACATAATTATCAGTGCACTAAATCTTGTACAACCCGGAGTTTCATTTTAAAGATGGCTATACCTGAACCTTGATTTGACCGTTTAGCCCATACGCCCCTCAATTTGAAAATATTAATACTCCTATTCCAGTATCACAGTTTGGTTGTCAAAACCCCAAACTATTTCATATTAAGGCTGAATTGTTAAAAACCATGAACTTTTTTAATACCAAAAATGAATTGCCACGATCATGGGTTCCAAAGATCTGAGTTGAATTAGAACCTGCGATAGTCAGTACTCAGTTAC